TCTGCGTGGAGCACTGGGTGTTATGCACAATGAATCATGGAACACTACATCAAAAACTAATGATGTATGGTGATTAACATAACAATAAAAAAATTTAAAGATAAAAAAAGGAGTAACTAGATCTTAAGTCACATCAACCAGTACCTGCACGTGTCAGGAAAAAAAAAGACATCTGGAGCTGGTTTTCAGCTTTCTGGCTGGCAACAGCAGTTTAGTGTGGTGGAAGTACAGGGAGCTTGGACCCAGACAGAGCAAATTTCCGCACTTACTTGCCATGGGACCCTCGGCAACTTCCTTGACCCTTCTAAACCATAATTTCCTCAGCGTCTTATAAAAGGAGGCGAATGCCACATGCCTCACCAGGAGTATTAAGATTAAATAAGATGAGGGAAGAAACACAAAGGCAAGGTGCCAGGTCACCGTAAGAGCCAGCAGCTGCAGGAGCTTTTGGGTGGGGAATGTAAGAAAAGGCTCCCACTTGGTTTCTAATCTGGTTTTCACCAGTGGGTGATCAAAGTCAAGTAGCTCAGCAGTTGCACTCAATTTGAGATCTATATCATTTGTTCCGAGTACGGCTCCTGGAATGAAAAGTGACTGACAAGATTTATTCAAGGGGAAGAGTTTTCCTGATAAGATGTGAATTTCATAATGGCCCTTTGTCGTGGGTCATTACCTCTATAAGCAGAAACAATAGTTAAGAGGGGATGTCCTGGGCTTAACCTGTGTTGACAGTTCTAGGGTATGTGTGATTTGGTCACTGAACCTCGAAATTAAAATAATATTATTGTTAAAAAACAGCAGGCACCACGCAGCTGTGCCTAGAGAAGAGGAAAAGCTTAGGAAGCTGTTCCTCTTTTTTTTTTTATTTTAAAGATTTTATTTTTAAGTAATCTCTACACCCAACGTGGGGTTTCAACTTACAACCCCGAGATCAAGAGTTGCATGCTCCACTGGCTGAGCCAGCCAGGCACCCCAGGACGCTCGCTGTTCCTCTTACCCCGGTCTAGCACTGCTTGTGAACTCCTGCTAAAGCAGGAAATGTGAAGACACCCCTCATGTTGCTGCTGGGCCAGAGACCTGGTCTCACATTAATTATACAAGAAACTCAAAGTACATGATATGACCCAGCTGTGGCAAAGGCCTCCAGGGAGCTGGGATATAACAGTTGTTTTATTTCTTTAAAAAAATCTGTCCTTTCAACCATCCCTGTAAGACGGTTTGTTTTAAAAATGACTCTTCATCCACAAATATGGCTTAGCATTGAAAATACATGAGATGAGGTATACTTAGAAGACACTCAACAAAGGCCCTTGAAACCCTGCAATTTTTAATTTATTTTTTGTAAAGAAGATGGTGTTATCCGTGTTATATGATGAGCAAATGGACACTCAGAGAGATAAAGTAACTTGCCTGAGGTCACACAGTAAGGAGGTAGACCTGGCTGTGAACCCAAAGAGCTCTCTTTACTAGCCCCATGCCACCTCTGGAAGTATCCCTGCAGCCTTGTCGATGGAAAATTCTAACTCAAGTTTCACCCATACAATGAGAAAGCTGAGGAAGACCTGCCAAGCATTTGTACCAAACGGCTATTCTTACAGGAGTATGAAAAGGAGAACAGGGTGGGAAGCCAATGAAGGAAAATGAAACAGGCACATAACTTATTTAAACGTCGTGAACTGTGGCCAACACAATTATGTGGAAACCTAGCAAGCTAATCTCAAGCTAATCCTGACCATTTGTGTGCTAACCCTGAGTTAGCATATCTGTACCTGAAATTCAGGCATGGAAGAAACAAAAGAAACCATTTATCTTAGAGGGTTAGGAAATCCTTAACCTTTATTTTGGACTGCTGACACCCTCCCTCCCCACTTGAGAATTTAACGAAAGTGGTGGACTCTTGACCCAGAAAAACGTACCAATCTACAAACACAATTATTTTATGCTGGGGTCTCCTGAAGACTATCCTATGATTTCAGGCTAAGCACAATTTTAGAGCATTTAAAGATTTAAAAGATTGAATTGGCTTTGTGTATTAAAAAAAAAGGCTCAAAACACATGAAACAAGCATATGACACAGCTCACAAGACCTCAAGGGCCATGACTTCTCAAATAGCTTGATATTTTTGTTTGAGCCCCACAATTCTGAACATCCAGGAAGCACCCTCGCTTAGCAGATATGGAAAATGAGTTTGAGGGACTTAGCAGTGACACAACTGCAATCTCCACATCAGAAAAAAAAAAAATAATAATAAGAGTATCCATTGCAGAGGATTGCTTTAGGGATTAAATGAGATAATGAATTTTAAAATGCTTGACACACAGTAAGTGCTCAACAAAGGACAGCTGGCATTATTACAATAGTATGATTATTCTCATTTGCCAGATGAGACAACTGAGGCCTGGAGGATAAGGCACTGCCCTATATCATCACCTGGCTAATGAGAGGAGGGGAGTGGGGGCTATAAAACTCTTTTCTCAGATTATAGAGCAGGTGAGAGGAAAACCTGAATACTTGGGGCTACAGGCTTCTATCTCCAGGCTTTCCCCTTAGACTTCCTTTTCACTCTTTCTGGAAAACCCTCCATCCCAACCCAAATATTTTTATCTAAGCCAAAATGAAGGTATCATCTTAGAAAAAAATCAGCAACAGCACATACTACCAATTCAGTTTTCACCTTGGGATCTGCTGCAAACTCTGGTGTGAGAATCAGCGTTCTACCGAGTCAAGAAGTACTTACGTAAATCTGTCCCATACTTAAGTCCCACTTTGGGCACCCAGCCCTTGCTTCGGAAGTAATGGTATGCCATGTACGTAGTCCTAAATGTGGGCTGAACTACAGTGAAAGCTTTCCAGAGCTTCAGGATTGTTAAAGGCTCCTAATGTTGGTGAGAGAAAAAAAGGGCATTATTATGTATGTATTCGCTTTTCATTCAGCCAGTGAACTGACATCTACACGAGGTGTGGCGCCGAAGCAGTCAACACACACAGCGCCCATGACGGAGGGACTTCACGAGGACCTAGGCCTGTGCTGTCCAGTGTGGCAGCACCAGACACGGCCTGGAAGGGAGATGTGCCTCAGGTGGAAAATACACACTGAATTTCAAAGACTTGGTAGGAAAACAAGAATGATATGTTGAGTTAAAGAAACTGTAAATAATATGACTTTTTTCTTTTAACCCCTTCAATGCGGCTACCAGAAAATTTAATACAATGCATGTGGCTCTTGTCTGAGGCTTATATTCACGTCTATGAGGCAGCACTGCTCTGGGAAAGGCCTCCCTGCAACAGCAATGTCTGAGATGAGGAGGAAGCAGCCAAGTGGAAGGGGGCAGCGGGGGGACCGGTGGCAGTGTGCGGGAACCTGGGGGCAGGGGGGGGGGCTGCACAAGAACACTCCGGGCAGAGGAATGAGCATGTGCCGGGTGCTCGAGTGTGACAAGTCCACCATAACCAGAGGGCAGCACATTCCAAACATTTCAGTGACCCAGGAGAGTAGCTACTGTATGTCAGGCCACATTCAGAAAAACCAAAACATAATTTTGTAAACGCTTAAAAAAAAAGATGCCCCATTTAGTCTTTGAAACTAGAGAATTTATCTCATGGCTTAAATGAATAATCTAACTGCTTCAAAGAGAATTTTGTTCCTAACAAAGGATATGAAGAGACGGAGAATGGCTTGGTTCAGAGAACATTCAATTTTCCGGCTGGTTTAGGGCTCAGTCAATGAGACCTGCTCAGTTTGTCTCAGCCTGAGACTTTAAATCCGTAAAAATGAGCTAGAGTTTTCTTCTTTTCTTCTTCTTCTTCTCCTTCTTTTTAAAATTGTTCCTCAGGTAGAAACTCCATACATGTGTGGCCTTTAAATCCCAAAGCAAGGAAACATGCAGCCCCCCTGTATTAAGCAACAGTCTTGTAGGGAAGGCTGAACTTCCAATATGGAGAGCCCATCATGTTTCAGAGGCTGAGGATTCTAGGTAGCAGTGGAATATTCTCGAGAATTTCAGCTAAGACCCAGGAGGGGAGGCAAGGTGGGCTAAGAATGGCCACCATCTGGGAAAATGAGTCACCCATCAGCTGATAGCTATTTTCAAACCACTGGAATACTCTTAAAAAGAATTTATATAATTAGAATTTGATGAATGATAAAATTATGTACTTCCAAGAACAGAACAAAATATGCTTTCTCTGTTCTATTTATTGTTCTGCTTACCTTTCTCTTTTTAATTCATTTGAATTATTTGGAATAGGTATTATATTCACATGGTCCAAATTCACAAAGTATAAAAATGTACAGTGAAGTCTCCCTTTCTACCTGTGTGTCCAGGCCCCCAAAGCCTCTACCAGAAGGTAAGCAATGGTGTCAGCTTCTCATGGAACCTTCTTCTAAGGGCAGCAGGCTACAGTACAGACTCACAGGCTTTGGAGATACCTTCATATAGTTTCAAGTACTAATTCTAACCAGACTAGCTGTGTGACCTTGGGTGAATTACTTACTTCCTCTGAGCCTCAGTTCCCTGATCTGTAGAATTCCTACCAGGCAGAGGCAAGGATGAGAAGTACCGCCTGAAAGGTACCCAACAACACACAGCCTTTACCGAAGTAGGCACTGAACACTGGCAGTTTTAATTTTTAGTACTGTTCTGACACCAATTTCCTGATCATCATTTAAGATATTGCTCTTCTCCTAGTCTCTGGGAATGAATTTCAATCTGAGAGAGTCAAAGCTGGCTTCTGCCTTAATAATCCCAATTCAGGGGGTGCCTTGGGTGGCTGAGTTGGTTAAGCATGTCACTCTTGATTTTGGCTCAGGTCATGATCTCAGCGTGGTGAGATCGAGCCCCACATCGGGATCCACACTCAGCATGGAGTCTGCTTGGGATTCTCTCTCCCCTTTTCCTCTCCCCTCCCCCCCACTTGCACGTGCTCTCTCTCTCAAATAAACAAATAAATAAAATCTTACCCCCCCCCAAAAAAAATCCCAATTCAGGGCCCAAAGCCTAACCCTAGAGAAAAAATTCAATTCCAATTTTATTCAGTGAAAGTAGGTACGTTTGTATTATAGCAATATGAAAATTACTATAGCCTGTTTTTAACACCAGGAAAATTTTAAGTGGATTTTATTTAAATATAACATCTTACCTTCTCATAGTAAATACTCAGACATCCCAGAGCATAGACCAGGAAAAAGGCCTAAAAACAGAGCAAGCAGAAAATGTTCATTAGAAACTGTTCCACATTCTTGAGAAATTATTTTACAGATTGATTTCTCTTTGCCTTAAGTACAAATTAATGTCCTTAAATCATCTTCAAAAAATGGTCACATATTTTTAACATAAATGGTTCATGCAAATTTTAAGGATTAAAAAAAATCTAAGAAAATATGAAAGTCACAAATTGATTAAAAATCAGTAAAAAACAAAGTATTTGTATGATATTTTCCATGTGTTTCCTCTTAAAAACCACATAGCTAAACTGAAAAATGATGTAAATAGTTGTAATAATAGAAACCTTTCCTCATTAGATTTTCCTCTGTAAAATTAAATAACCATATCAAATTGAGAAAAAAATTTACACAAAGAAATACATAGAAATTTGTGAAAACTGGGCAGTATAGATTTGGCTTGCATAACAAAACATGAGTTACAACCCTTGTTGTAAAGTGATTTCCTATTAATCCCTATCCTTCCATGAACTTCATTATACAGTAATGTGTTTTACTTGCATGGGAAGGCAGGAGGAAAAGCAAAGGAAGTCAGTTGTAGTTGAGTAAAATCACACTTAGATGGAAATAAAAATAGCTTTTTTTTTTTTTAAAGATTTTATTTATTTATTTGACAGAGAGAGCGAGCGAGCACAAGCAGGGGGAGAGGCAGAGGGAGAAGCAGACTCCCCAATGAGCAGGGAGCCCATTGTGGGGCTTGATCCCAGGACCCTGGGGCCACGACCTGAGCTGAAGGCAGACTCTTAACTGACTGAGCCACCCAGGAGCCCCAAAATAGCTTTTTTTTTTTTTTAAGTTTATTTTTTTAGTAATCTCCACACTCAGCGTGGGGATTGAACTCCCAACCCCAAGATCAAGAGTCATATACTTGACACCAACTGAGCCAGCCAGGTGCCCCAACTGCTTTCTGATAAAAGTAAGACAACGCCAAGCATCGATACCACCAAACAGGCCCTGCTGTTCACTCTATTTGTAGAGGGGGATAGGATCCACGTTTACACTTAAACAGACTTATATGCGACATTGGTGTGTCGTAGTGGCTAAATGGTGGTATCAGTAAAACTGGGGTACTTTCTTTATAAACATGAGGACAGAAGATTATAACCAAACGAAAACCATTCTGCTGCTGCCACCACGTGGCACAGACGAGGGCCCTCTTACATAGTGTGGCGACAGAGATGCGGTCCTCAGCCCTGAGCCTGCACATTTTTGTTCAACAGCATGGTGCCGACGACCAGTGCTTACTTAGCTTGCTTCCTCACTGCCCCAGCACGTACAGGAACAAACCACAAGAGGATTTAAGAGAGCACAGGCTATGGAGGTGTAGGGGGTTTCAAGCAGCAACGAGAAATAGCTTTCTGATGCCCAGGAATTGCCTGAACCCACCCCGTCATTTTCTCCTGGCTATATCTCATGGCACTTCTCTTTACAGCAGCGGTTCTCAAAGTGCGGTCTGGGGATCTTGGAGACCCCAAGACCCTTTCCGGAGGTCTCCAGGTCAAAACTATTTCATGATAATAACACAGTGTTTGCCTTGTTCCTGCTCATGGTCTCCAGAGGCTCCAAGACATGTGGTATCACAACGGACTGAATACAGAAGCAGATGTGGGCATCCAGCTGACTTCTATAAAGCCAGACCGTAAAGTGACTGGCAGAAGCGAAAAACTGCCATTCTTCTCACTGAATTTGTTCTGTTTTGAAAGAATATAGTTACTTTTCATAAAATTTTATTTATGTTAATGTATAATGGATTTATCATCATCTTAAAATGAATTAAAGAACAAATATTTAAAATTTTGTTTTAATTTACGATTTGGTAAACAGTGACAGATATAATTCACATAAAGATGTTCCTGGGATCTTCAATAATTTTTAAGAGAGTAAAGTGGCTTGAGAACTACCACTTTAGTTTCACTCAGCTCTAAACCTAGAGCTTCTCTGAAGATGCAGGTGACCCCACTTCTCTGGGTCCTAGCCACCACTCCCCGCCTGGACTTCTCAGAGGCCTTTCTGCTCCGTGCATTCTCCACGGCAGCCAGAGCCATCTTTTTCCCACGTGAAGACCACGTGGCTCCCATGACTAAAACCCTCCAGAAGGCTTCACGGCACTTTGCTTCCCACTGCCTCCAGTCCCTGCAAAATGTGACCACCACTCTTTCTGGCCATGTTGGCTCCATGTCTGCCCCTGAACACACTAAGCTCATTCCTGCCTTTATCTTCGTAAGTGCTACTCCAGGATCTGGCACATTCTGCCCCAGACTCAAAAGTCACTTTTTGGAGAGGTCTTCCCCTCCACCCTCGTTAAGCAACCCTCATCCTGATCATCTTTTTCAAAACACTTTTGTCTGAAAAGATCTTTCTTACATGCAACTTGAATGTGAACTCTATGAGAGCAGAAACTCTGCCTGCCACTCCCCTGGCCCGGAAGGGGTTCTAGCACATGGCATCAGCTCAGTGCTTGTGCAGAGAGAATGGACCCTGAGTTTAGGACACTGCCAGAGTCACTGAGAGCAGGTCTCTGCAGGCCTGGCTCGCCAGCTCCTTTCTCCTCAGGTGGATGCTATATGCCCCACAATCCCTTGCAGCTACTGGTGACAGCCTTCCCAGGAGTCCTACATTCTTATTTTGACCTTTTGTCTTCCTGTGGCACACAACTCACTAATGCAGAGTACCACTGTTTCTTGGATGCACCCAGACGGTGGCCAGAAGGCGCCACGGAGGAGACAAACTTGGGTCCTCAAACAGCCAAGTGCTTCCCCTTTCGACTTCTCCCAGCTGTCACTTCTTGGTTCTGAACGGGGCGACAGGGAGGATGAACTCTGGGATGTGGCAGAGCTGGGCTGAAATCTTCATTAACAGCTATGCCCTTGGAAGTGTCACTTAAGCTCTCGTACCTCATCTACAAAATGGGGATGAAAATGCCTTATTAAAGATCTAATGGGATTAAGTCTCATAAAAATTTTAAAAGGCTATGCAAAGTACCTAACTGCTCAATTCATTTTAGTTTCCCCTCCTTTTAAAACACCATTTAGATACTGTAGCCTGCAAAAGTTCAATCCTTTTCTTGCCAAGCAAGAGACTCCTTCCTGGTGTCTGTTAGAATTTAAGTTCTTCAGAAACTTTCCATTATCAGTAAACACAGGTTTCTCTAAGAACTGATGAAACCAATGCCTCATTAATATTTATTGGCCTAAAATAAATGGCTTTTATGAATATACACAAACTGCTCGTAGGCACTTATTACAGATGGAGTGGATCTTAATTCAACTGAGTTGGGTTTATTTAGAATTAAATCATCAGAAGACTGGGGCCTTTCTGCACCGGTGCCCCAGTGCCACCAGGACCAGGTCAGACCCCTGGTACATACTTGTAGAGGTAGGTGATTATGTCCCTTGAGATCTCATTAGTAAGTTTTCACTATCACAGCAAAATGGAGGGAGAGTTTAACGATGGTTTTAACGTCATCACTAAATCTAGTTAGGTCCCAAAGCATCATAATGGAAAAACAGTTCTCAGTAACAGATTTCTAAGAGACAGATCTTTAAGTCAGCTGTGGTATTATCATTCCCAAAGCCCAGAAAGAACTGCTCTGAATCACCACAGAAGGGCTGCCCGTGTTCCTGATGGATATTTACGGAAACACATTAAACTGTACAAGTGGTGCACCAAACACAGGTGATTCATTCAGAGGAAATCTGCCAAAACAGACCTGAGAGGCAGAGCTACGTTTAATTGCACATTCCCTGAAAACTGCAACACCTCTCTGGAATGTCCTCAGAAGCCAAACAGCTTCCAAGAATGCAGAGCAACCTCATCTACCTTCCATTACTTTTGTCTTTCTTCAGGGAGCGTTTGGGAGAGAGCAGCAGACAGCAACACCTTTTTTTTGTCAGTAAAAAGCATCGCATGGAACACAACTGGACCTACTGGAACAGTGAGGTTGGCACCTAATGCTCTCTCTCTGCCTACGGCTGCCAACTCCCAGAGCTGAGATACTGGCCAGGCCCTCCTGGCCTCAGCCCTCCTGGCCTCAGCCCTCCAGCCCAGCCTCCTACTGATGCCAGCTCCAGTACCTGCCCTTTTCTGACGTAGCGCCCGTGGTGCCCCAGTGCCGCCAGGACCGGGTCAGACCCCTGGTACATACTTGTAGATATGCCCTCACGATCTAGCCCTCCCATGTTGCCATCCAGGGCTGAGCTGCACAAAAGAGCCTATGCTGTCCAGTGTCCAACTGGCAATCCCCTATTTATCTTTTTTTTTTTTTAAAGATTATTTATTTATTTATGTATTTGACAGAGAGAGACAGCGAGAGAGGGAACACAAGCAGGGGTAGTAGGAGAGGGAGAGGCAGGTTTCCCATGGAGCAGGGAGCCCGATGCGGGGCTCAATCCCAGGACTCTGGGATCATGACTTGAGCCGAAGGCAGACGATTAACCGACTGAGCCACCCAGGCGCCCCCCCCATTTATCTTTTAATATCTACAGATATCACTGACTCTGTGAAGTCTTTCCAGCTAGCTCACATCCCTTTGGACTCTACCAGTTTCTGTGCAAATTCCACACCTTGTATCCATCCATTTAACAAATAATTATTAAGCATGTGACAGACGTCAGACACTGGGTACAAGGATACTAGAGGAGCAACACTGGCACAAGACTACATGGAACGTAATTGTTTCCTGGGCTATTTTAGGACCAGAGCCATATTCTGTTTATTCTGTATTGTTAGTACTTAGCCCAGTGCCTGGCACAGAGTAAGTACCCAGTGAACATTTTTGCAAAATATTGATTGCAGAAGAAAAGGTTCCAACTAGCTACTTAATAGCATTTACAAGTAATTTAATAATGATAACAAGAAAAGCAGGCACTAACACTTACTGAGCGTTTATTATGTATCTGGCACTGTGCTGAGCCTATTACATGGGGTAGTTAATTCCCAGAAGATCTTATGAACAAGGTATTCTGTAACCCTCATTATATAGAGAAGAAATCAAGGCCCAGAGAGCTCAAGCACCTAGAGAAGGTGTATCTACAGTGATGTCCAGCAGAAAACTTCCTCTGATGACAATGTTCTACACCTATGCTGTCCAATACGTCACCACTGTCCACCTGTGGCTGCTCAGTGTTTGAAATGTAGCTGGCACAATTGAGAAGCAGAATTCTGAATTTTGCTCAATTTTAATTAGTTTAAATAGTCACATGTGGCTAGTGGTTACTGTCTTCGACAACAGACTCAGCTGTCTCATTTGTAGAACGAGGAGATGTAGTAAATAAGTCCAAACATCCTTTCCTGGTCCCACAGTCTGTTCTTTGTACATTTGGCCTCACTGCAAGGAAGGAAGTACAGACAAGGAAATCCAGAGAACATGGAGACACAACTACTTCTTTGTGGATGGGCCCACGAAGTTACCAACGTGGATGCAGTCAACAAGCACTCCCTGAGATCCATGTCTACACCGAGAACAGTGCTAGCCCCTGCAGGAGCTATCAAAGACAAGCAGGAGTGCTCCGGGAGAGGAGGAACACAAGACTGAGGGAGGGGTGCAATCCTCCAGGGCAGAAAGGACATTTCTGTGCACAGTATAAACAGAAGCAAAGGAGGGCCTGAACACATGAACACAGGATGGAGGAACTTCCAAATCAGAGGGAAAATTTATGATGCAGTTTTTAGAAAGTCACTTTCAGTTAACTTTTGGGAATGCAGCTATTGCATTAAGAGAACATGTGTAATTCTGCAGAAGGAAATATCTAGAATCCATTTATGTAATTAGCAGCCATGACATGACTTGAAGCATGCATCATAACTTATTAAAAGCTGGTGAAACTCCATGAATATACTAAAAACCACGAACTATACACTTAAAATGGGTGAATGGTATGGTATATAAACTGTATCTCATGATATAGGAAGACCCCTCATAATCTTAGACTTAATGAAATGAAGGCTAAGGAGTGAAATTTAGGCTGGCCTACTTTGGAAGCTGCCTATGGTCATTTCAATACCCATTTGTAATGTGCAATTACTGAATACTCAGTAATTACTGAATCACATACAGAATTGCATTTACAAGTGGACCGCATTACAGGTTGCCTGGGCCCTGAGACCAAGAGCTGAAAAAGTAACATGCAGGAAACATACCTCTTCTAGGCTAAGTTGCAAATACTCCAAGATCCTATATGGATTTCTTCTGCATACTAATCTCTTTTTTGGTGCCAACTGAAAAGAAATAAAATACATACAGAACAAATGGAAACACTACATATTGCACAGAGCAGATTGCATTTTAAAACAAACATTTTTCTTACAAATTTCACAGATTCACATTTATTGGACTAATATGTTAAAAATATTTTTTTATTATTATGTGGAAAAGAAGTTTTAGGTTTCTACTATTAACATTTTGATTTACTTCCTTTCTATGTTCCCCATGAATTTTTCCCACAGTTGTGATCCTTTCATTAGTTGAATTTATGTACTTCTTTTCACCCACCTGCACCTCACAAGTGTGGGCCTAGCTTCTTTATCAGGCTTCATAAACCCCATTCTAAAGGCTAGATAATATTTCTTCAAACAGGTGTTTCACATACTACTTAGCCATTAGACTTGCTCATTTTTAGGTATTACAGATAATTCTACGGCAACTGTCTCTGACTGTGCATCCCTCAATGGAATGGCTCTTGATCTTCCCAGTGCTTCTCCTGTGCTGGCTGACCTCCATACCCAAGACTCCCTGCACCACAGCTACACTCAAGACAATGTGTAATTACCACAGCACTTCTTTTTCTCCCACCCAAGGGAAAGATTATTGTACCTGCTTTGATTTACACATTTTTTTAAAGTTAAGTTATTCACAAACTTTGAGGTTTTAGTAGAAATAGCTCTCACAGCCACTGAGCCACCAGGGCTGGTACCCAGTGCCCGCTGGCTCCCCACCGCGGGTCTCACCACCTCTCACATACACTGGGCACTTAATGTGGGCCTGCTACCAGTTCTGAGTAAGGGGCATCCTGGTTAGCCCACATATGCCATGGGCCAGAAACAGATGGCTCTGGAGGAAGTGAGTTATTTTCTTCTTCAGTTGATCCTTGAACAACGCGGGGGTTAGAGGCGCTGATTTCCTGCCACAGAAAATCCGTGTATAACTTCTGATTCCCTCAAAACTTAACTACTAATGGCCTACTGTTAACTGGAAGCCAACAACATAAGCAGCTGATCATCACATATTTTATATAAGTATTATATGGTACATTCTTACAATAAAGTAAGCTAGAGAAAAAAAATATTAAGAAAATCATATGGCAGAGAAAACACACTTACAGTATTGTACTATATTTATCAAAAAAACCCCAAAACACCAATCCGTTTATAAGTGGATCCATGCAGCCTGAACCCCTGTTGTTCAAGGGTTGGCTATACTTACTTCTTCACTTGGGGCACAGTCCTTCTCATTCACATCATACACATCTTCCTCCACCAGCACGAACTCATCACCAGGCCCCTTCTCTCTAGCGCAGAGGAGACCCGCTTGCTGGCTCCTGTCCCCAGGCTGAGTGTCAGGCAGGGGGAGGAGAACGTCTTCTTTGCCACAAGGAACTTGGGGCAGGGGGTGGTGTTGCAGCCTGGGAACCTCCACCACAGGTTCATCTAAGCCGTCTGGAGCGAGCAGGTCAGGCCCAGGGCCCTCCTGCAGGCGGTCTGATGGCTTGCTGGGACCGTCCCTGTCAACTGACTTTCCCACGTCCCCATTCATCATAGGAAGTTCCTCTCTATCTGCGGAACCTTCCATTTTGGAAACCGTTTCAGAGTTCCGCTCATCATGCCACTCAACTTCTTTATTCCTTTTTATACCAGGATGCTCGAGTGGCTTTGTGTAATCCTGGAGGATTCTCTGCACTGTACTCCCCTCTTGCCCCTGTCTTTGCATGAGCTCTGCGGCCCACTCTACGCTCTGCCGATACCTGCAAGATGGAAATGCTGTCAGTAATACATTAACAGTTTATAGCAGTTTTTCTTAGTAGCGGGCTATAGGTAAATGTCTTCTTTATACTTTCTTGTGTTTTCTAACTGTTCTGCAATAAGCATGTGTTACTTTTGTTTTTATTATTAGAGCTTCATTTAATTTTCTTATTTTGAAAAATAACTTGACCCCAGTTTGACAAAGTATGAATATTTATGTACTTTAAAACTGGTGGGCCAAATGATTTAGGTAAATACAAAGAGAATATGGTCATCCTCTGTCAGGATTTCTACATTATTCTTAATTTTGGATATCACATTTTCAGAAAAATTTGTTCAATACTGGAATGCAAAATGAGAATTTCAATAGGTATTTTTCACAGTACCTACTGAGGTCTCCACTGCGTATGGCAAGAAAGGATTAAATGCCACACACATGGCCAAGCATCCTAGCAGAAAGGGCCCTTTTTCTCATAATAATTTTCGAAGTGCAGTTTGATGAAGAGTATCTGCTTCGTTCCTCAAATGTAAAGGCAACCCCCGAACACTTCCCAAGTTACAAAAAGTCACAGGTAAGACAACAGGGTTCTGCGCAAGTGAGACCTCCAGCCTGCTGACACCGCTGGGACACCTCCATGTGGCATCAGGCTGCCATACGGGAAATCTCATTTCAGCAGGAGAGCTAAAGGCAATGTGAAACTCGAGCACTTTTGGCCTCTACCTCCAGCTGGTAGCCTGGAAAGCACCTACGACGGCACTGTTTGTGGGAAGACAGAGGTAATTTTACTCTTCACCTTGAGTATTTTGCTTTGTGTGTGGATGGCTGAATATTCATAGTTTATAAACTGTGACATCTCACATGCAATTGAACAAGGAAGCTGGCCTCTGCTGTATTTAAGATTTGTAGCTGCTTAATCCTGATTCCTCAGAAGAATCTCCAAGCTGTCCACACCTTGTTTATCTTATGTAGGGATGAGCATGCCTTCCTGTTTATTGGGAACTGTATCTTAGCTTTAGAGAGTAAAACCTAGCAAGGCTACTCTCACACCTAAGAGGCAGACACCATGATTGTATGCATGAATGCATATTGCACGTGTTTCATGTTCAGCCTGACTCTGTCCCTTGTAACAATGTGACAAAACCAATTACTTAACTTCTTTGTGCTTGTTCCCCCACCCATAAGATAGGGTAATGGGACTACTATTGTACGAAGGGGTTATGTATTACTTTTATTTTTTATTTTTATTATTTTTTTAAGATTTTATTTATTTACTTGACAGAGAGAGACACAGCGAGAGAGGGAACACAAGCAGGGGGAGCGGGAGAGGGAGAAGCAGGCCTCCCGCCGAGCAGGGAGCCCGATGTGGGGCTTGATCACGACCTGAGCCGAAGGCAGATGCTCAACGACTGAGCCACCCAGGCGCCCCAGGGCTTATGTATTACTTTTAATAATCAGAATAAAAAATGTAGTTGATCATACAACAGCAGGGTGTCTTCCCGCCTGTATGAAAAGTATGGCCACTGTTGCATACAGTTAAAAGAACTTTCGTTTGAGAGATCTAAAAAGAATCTTTGCTCTACACCTACAGCACTGGCTTTATAGGCCTCATGGATCTACAAATCTCCTTTATTTGAACACAAATTTTTGTGTCAATATGTATCTTTCTGGGGAAGGGATCCCCAACTTTCATCAAATTCCTTGACTCAAATTATGTGAGGGAACCACTGAATGAAAGGTTCAACTATTGCCCCTTTGAGCAAAACTGAGAGAAAGAGCACACACAGGCTACCGCTCCGCTCTCTGCAACAGGGTCAAGGGAGATACGAGTTCAAACTCTCATTCCATCATGTTCTTGTACTAGCTACATGATCCTCATGAGGCTCAGCTCCTCATCTGTAAACCAGGAGTAACCATACTGACATCACGGAGTTGTTGCAAGGATTAAAGAAGACAAGACGTGGACAAGGCTCAGCACATAGTAAGTGTTCTATAAATATTTGTTACTATGATTGTGGGCTTTTTAGGGGGAGAATTAACAAATAAAATCATTTTGACTCATACATATTACATTACAAAGTACAAATAACATTTTTAATGAATGGAAATGTACACCTTAATTAACTGCTCTGCAAGAGCAGGGCCACCCCTGTGGGGACAGGCACTGCACCAGATCTGGGTTCTGGAGTTGGCTCTTTCATGATTCTGAGCTAAGCCACTTAGCATCCCTACACCTTTTTTTGCTCTTCTGCAAAAGGCCAGAATCACACCTGCATTCCTGCCTCATAATGACCTCAGATGCTCATTTTATGGAAGCTCAAACGAGACAGTGGCTGCAAAAGCATGTGGAAGAAAGCCTCTGAGAAAGACTGGTGATGAAAACAGCCAGATACACAAATGACTAAGACATATGGCATATGAGTAACAGAGCAGGTGTCCTCTCATTGGCTGACAATGCTTTAAAAAGCCAAGTCCTGCTGCGATTAACCCCAGACACTGCTGCAGAAGCAGCAGGAAGAGAAAAGTGGAAAGTAAAAGTCAGGAAACATAAGGGAGAGAGTGGCAGGGGAAAAAGGTGGCAGCTATGATTAGTAGCAGTAATGAGACTGGTGAAAAGCAGACCCGTTTCGGGGCCACCAGACTATAGAATGGTGGAGCATCTGAATACGCCTCTGTTTCTTCTGTCTCTATGGCCTCGAACACACTCTTCCACTGGCATGGTGAACATCCCTCTCCCTCACCTACTGATTAATGCCTACCTATCATTAGAAGTTCACAGCAAAACAGTTTTGAGGCAGTCTGCTTAGGTCCAGGTACTGCCCGTAAGCAAGTTATATAACCTCCTCTGGTTGCGTTTCCTCACCTGTCAGATAATAACAGGACCTGCTTCTAGGGGTGATGGGAAGACTTTAGGAGATAGTCCACAAATGTGTTATCAGCACAGAACCTTGTACATGGAATATGCCCAAGAAACGCCAGCATGTACAACCACGTTGTTGTTCTCACTATGTGTCAATTCCTCTGAAGCTGAACTGCCTCATCTGAGATGGAAATGACTACGCCTACCGCAAAGGCTCCTTGAGATGAACTGAGATGGTCAGGTAAAGCATCCAGCTGGTGACTAGCACCGCAGGAGCAACTAGTACCCGTGGGCTAGGACGGTGATCGCAGTAATAGCTCCCCATAACATCTATCACAGAAGAGTGCAATTGTTTACTTCTCTTCCTCTCCCACCAGACCGTAAATCCCTTGAGAACAGGGGCGAAATCTCTTCCTCCTCTTGTATCTGCAGCACCTACCCAATGCCTGACACTCAAGCACCAGCAGTAAATGCTGGCTGAACAGAGGACTACAAATGAGGAGGGAGGGACCAGCACCCCCCTCACGGCTGGCCCTCCAAGGACACAACCTACACACTTCAGTCCCCTAGGGCATCACCCAAGGGTCTGGACGTTTACTTCCGGAGAGGATTAGATGGAAGGTTCTCATCACCCAAGGACTACTATTGTTGGAAAACGGCCAATCAGAGTGAATTCACTTGAGAAAGGGATCGGAGTTTCAGAGGGAATAGTAAAGAAACAATTATAACAAGCACGTAAGCTGGAAAATTAACTTAAAAATATAAAAATGAGCCCATTTCCTCGAATATTTAACAATTTAGATTGTGATTGCAATTATTATGGCCAAATAACTAATCAAGTATTGATGGGGGGGCACATAATTTTCTGACAGAACTGTCAGATATGGTTAAGTCCTAACACTTGGCGTCTGTAAATGTGACCTTCTCTGGAAGCAGGGTCTTCGCAGATGTAACCAAGTTAAGATGAAGTCATACTCGAAGGGTTTCCCTGTAGAAAGAAGGGGGACATTTGGACAGAGACACATAGACATACACAACGGAGACCTCCATGTGATAATGGAGGAAGAGCCTGGAGAGATTCATCTATAAGCCAAGGAATGCCAAAGATTGCTGGCTACCATCAGAGGCTCAAACCAGGCATGGAAGATGGAAGGATCCTCCCCTAGAGCCTTCTGAGGGAGCACAGCCCTGCTGACACCTTGATTTTGGACTTCTGGTCTCCAGAGGTATATGACTAAATTTCTGCTCTTTTAAGCTATGGAAGCCCTAGGGAACTAATACAAAGATCAATAAAATGCTTGCAGTGTTATTACTGTAGAGCTTACAAAGGGATAACTTCAGGCAGGTGACAATCTCGCCCATCCAGAACCTCACATACTCAAACTAGCTTGACGTCATGTCATGCCCACTGCCAGCCCAATCAGGATGCAGTTCTGAGGGGCAGGCTTCTGCTCTGTTTCTGAGTCCTAGTGTTGACTGCAGCTTTACTGCAGCTACTCCTCGGGTGGAGGCCCTGCCAGGTTCTCCGCAGGCCCCTCCCACAGACTAGAACCCTATCCCCACACCCAGCCTGCAGGTATAGCCATAGCAGCCACTGAGATTACCCTGGTGTCACTGCCCCCAGCCACTCCTCTGGCTATGGCATTACCAAGCACATAACCGAATAGGAGCTGTCATATTCTGCCAGTATGTGCTAGAAGCAAGATGGAAAACGATCGGGCGTTTCAATATTTTTAGAAGGCTTACAGAAGAGACGCAACTTGAGCTGTCCCTCAGGGACAATGAGGATTTAAATGCATGAATGTTTAGTCCACAAAATCCCACCAAGGGACCACTAAGTGTAGGGGCTGCAGAGAGGAAGCAGGCATGGTCCCTGCTCTCCAGGAACTGACAGTCTAAATCCGGGTGTGTGATGGATGGCACGGCGAGGGGCACCAAGGCAGATTGCGTGGGAGCCAGAAGAACCCCAACCAATGGAGGGTGGTGGTAATGAGAAAACCTCCAGGAGAGTGACATGTAAGCTGGATCATGGAATGGGCAGCAAGAGCCAGGCAGTGTGCATGCTTTGGGGTGTGGGGGGGGAGGTCAGGGGAAAAATCCCAGGAAATGGGAAGAGTGTAAAGAAAAGCCAGAGGAGGGGTGCCTGGGTGGCTCGGTCGGTTAAGCAGCTGCCTTCGGCTCAGGTCATGATCCTGGGGTCCTGGGATCTAGCCCTGCGCCCAGCTCCCTGCTTGGCCGAGAGCCTGCTTCTCCCTCTCCCTCTGCCTACTTGCGCTCTCTATCGCTCTGTCAAATAAATAAATAAAAAACCTAAAAAAAAAAAAAAAAGCCAGAGGAAGGAACTGTGAGTGTATGAGTGGATAAAGAAGAGCCTCCGTGGAAGCCTCTTTCTCACCCTGCAAGTATAGAGCAAGTAAGGAGGACAGGGGAGGGGGCCAGTTCCAGACCTAAGTGTAAGCATCTTAGCACTTAAAGACATACACATTAGAGGTTAATTGTTCATATTTTGGAAGGAATTCAAGTGGCAAAGGATTTGGCCTAGGATTATTTAAAAAAATTAACTCAGTGCATTTCAAATATGATTTGATCCACATTCGGTTCAGACATAATTTTCAAGGACACACCTACTACCAAAAAAAAAAAAAAAAGGTGTGACCTACCACATTGGAAAAGGTTATCTACAAACAGATCTGATTTAAGCCATAATTCTGGCCAAGGTCACCACGACTTACTTCTTTGATGTGATTATAGGCATTTGTGTCTTCACATCTGTAACAACAAAAAAGTTCTGTTCAAATTTTCCTTAAGGGAAAAAAACACTGAAAATCCAGAAAAACAAAGAGAATTTCAAGAATCACAAAATCACACATCTAGAAGGCTAATCTTGCCCAACCAGCAATGGCATGCTTTATGTGCCATCATTCCCAGAACCCACCCCCCGAACCCACTGGAAGGCAATGCTGCCTGTTCACGGTGCTCTTGCTGTGCCCAGATGTGACCCTGAAATCCTTCTCAACACTGCAGCTTGGCAGCAATGGCATGCAAGAGGAAACCCCCCTGCAACCTCTGAACTTTCAGATGAGAGTATTGAGGCCCTAAAGTTATGCACCTGACCCCCGTTTTCCCATGCTCTTTAAGGCATCTTCAGTCAAAGTGCCCCACATGTACCGACAAAAACGGTTGTTGAATTTCATGGCAGTGTTACTTCTGGGTGTGGACCTGGGAGTTCTGGGCTCTAGTTCTAGTTCTGGGCATCTGGCTGGTTGAGCCTTTCTACCTTCAATGTTGTTTATTGATCACCTGATGGTGTGGGTTTTAGTCCTCACCCTCCTCCACTCTGCCTGTGGGCAAGTCATTTCTCCTTACCCAAACTCAGCCTTCTTCCCAGTGCAGTAAAGGCCTGGAATAGATGATCATCAGCTTTAAAAACCCTAGGAGTTCACAGACTCCTACCTCCTTAGGAATTTGTCAGTTTTCTCTGTGTCATGACCTCCCTCCTCTGGTAATCTAACAAAAATGACAATTTACTGAGTTTTACTGACAGCCATCCATGTGCCAAGCACTAGAGATACAGAAGTAATAAAGTAAAATCCCCTCTTCTTGAGATACTCACAGTCTGGTTGGGGAGACAGACCAGAAATGACTGATTCTAACCCAAGCTGATATATGACCAAGTAAAGGAGTATAAAAGGAGTGCTCACTTTGCCTGAAAGGCTTAGTAAAAAAACACCAAGGAGGAGGAGCAACTGAGCTGGGCTCTGAAGAATGAGTAAGAGCTCACCAGGCAGACCAGGGGGAAATAGGCAGGGGAAGCCATGTGAGGCTGAGAGAGAGTAAATGCGTGACAGGTTCATGGAATGGCAAGCAGCCCAAGGTGGCTCTAGTGCCAATGAGTAGAAGAGAGTGCACAGAGGGTGGAAGATGAGGCTGAAGCCAGAATTTGAAGAACCTCCTCAAATGGACATTTGAGACTTACTTCTTCAGGGTAGTCCACAAGCTTAATTTCTATTTCCTTGGCATAAATTCCTTTCCTTCAAATTTCTATTACTGTCTAAAATTTAGTTACTACACAGATCAGGAAAAGATTCTCAGTTGTTAAGATCATTATACTATTTGAAAGCTTTTTGTTTCTGGCCAAATATTGGTAACTGCTGAAGCTGGATGGTGGGGGTCATTATGTTATTTTTTTTTCCACTTTTTTCCCCTTTTTGAAACACTCATTATGAAAAAGTTTTCAGACATACAAAAGTAAAGGGAACAGTATAAGAAATTCCCATGTTGCCATCCGTCAGCTTTAACAATTAACTCATGGCCAATCTTGCTTCATTTGCCCTTCTGTTCATTTCCCCGTCCCCAGATTATTTTGAAAAAGATCCCTCACATTCTATCACAGCATCTCTAAGTAGCTCATTATGTATTTCTATGCAGACTTAAAAAATGAAGAAAAAACTTGTATAGAAAAAGGGGGCGCTGGCTGGCTCAGTTGGTATAGCACGTGACTCTTGATCTTGGGGTTGTGAGTTCAAGTCCCACACTGAGCATAGAGCTTACTTAAAAAAATTATAAAAATTAAAAAAAAAAATTGCAATACCATTATTACTTTAAAAATTAATTCCTTAGCCTCATGAAAATCTATGGATTGTCTCAATTTTTAAAAGTCGGACTCAAAATCCATATAAAGCCTATATACATTACAACTGACTGATACATCTGAAGTTGATTCTAATATATGTTACCCCACCATGATTTTCTTCTCTGTAATTCACTTACTGAAGCAATGGGTTTTCTGTCCTATACACCCTCCCCCGGTCTGGCCTCAGAGGATCACGTCCCTATTGTGCTGTAAACATGGTGCTCATCAAAGGAGGTCACAAGCACCATGCTGTCCTTGAACTGGTCATGGATGGTCCAAGAAGGGCCTGCACCAACCTTTAAGCAACTGTCTCACACAGCACATTGCTTAGTTCAGCTCACCTTGTTTTCATAGCCAGATTTTCACGGAGAGGGAAGCCGTAGGTAAACAGCTAAATAGTATGGGATCTATTTCCATTCTGGTGCAAAGGACTTACCTTGTGACACTTCAGTGACACTTGTGACACTTTAAGCAGCACTGGCTTAATAATTCTTTGACCCTGTTTCCTGTAAATTGGTGGAACTAGAGGGCTTGATCACATTCAGGCTCAGTATCTTGGGCAGCCTACTTCATGGGGTGGTGCTGTGTGTTTCTCTTACAAGACAAAAAATGTGTTGTCTCTTTGTATGTCATCAACACCACTGACGATCAATGCTTCATTAGAGGATGCAAAATGGTGCTATTCTCATCCCATTATTCCTTGTTTATTAGCAGGAATCTTCCATAGAGAGAAATCCCTCACTACTCAGTGACCCTGAGAACAATTCATGTTTACTAATTTCCAAAATGGTGGATCCTCCACAGGTGAAGGTACATAGTGTACCAGCATAAATTAAAAGATCCATGCATTTTTTGGGACATTATTACCAATGACTGGATTTTAAAACAAATTGTAGGATTAATCCTTGTTTGTTTTTTTTAGTAAGAGAGAGAGGGAGAGAATCTTAAGCAGGCTCCATGCTCAGCGCGGAGCCTGATGTGGGGTTCAATCTCACGATCCTGAGATCATGACCTGAACTGAAATCAAGAGTCAGACGCTTAACCGACGGAGCCACCCAGGGGCCACTACAGTATTACTCTCATTGATGCTCAAATGTTTCCCTCTTTGGTCTGGGAAGCCACTTCTGAAACAAGCCTAGCAGTTTTTGATAAGCTTCCTTGCTTCCTGGTATAGATGTTTCACGTGAAAATCCTGGCTCTCAACCATACCAACATAATTAATCATTTGCTTTTTCACACAATATACATACAACAGTTGTACCAAGCTATCACCTATAAAATAATTGCTGAAAGCAATGTGAAGATTATTTTGCCACTCTTCCTTTCTTTAGAATATAGGGTAGGTTAATTGCACTGATGGCCCCAATTCTTCAGGTCTTCCACCTGCCAAACACCTTGACTCTAGACCAGTTGGAATAACAGCAAACGTGCTATGAGCAGAGGCCCAAAAAGCACTGGCACACTGGGGCTTGCTCGTGACCCTCCGCCATAACCATGAAAACATGCCTGAGCTAGCCTGCCAAGGGATGACACACATGGTGCCCCCTGCCCCTCATCTCAGTTGAGACCATTCTAGACCAGCTGACAGCCAACCAACAGACAACCAGACACTAGTAAGTCCAGCTAGATCCGTTATTGGACTAAATCCATTAGAGCAGCTAGCTGATCTCCGTAACTAACCAGATGGATGAGTACATCCAGCCAAGATCAGCACACCTACCTAGCAAACCCGTAGACTTGTGAGCAATTTGGATACTGCTGAAAGCCACTGGTTAAACAAGACTGGGCCAAGAGATAACTGACACAAAGTCTATCCTATTAGGATTGAACCTCAAGTTACCACGTTTTACAGTCACTGAAAATAGTCCTCAGTGGCTACACCACCAACTTGATATATAGGTTCAGTCTTTTTTTTTTAAATTACATTTTAAAATTTAACTTTGTTTTGTAATCATGTAACACATTTACAAGGTTCCAAAGTCAAATTTATAAAGTCTCACCTCTTTCTCCATCCTGTTCCATATCTCCCCCATAGGCATTAAAAAGAATCTATGATTTATCCTTCCTTAAATTTCAAAAATATATTTATTATCCCCCCACCTTCAGATAAACCACGGCACACTATGCAGACTCCCCCTTTCTGTGCTTTCTTCGCTTAGGAATACATCCCCGTGATCCCTCATTCTTAGCTCAGCTCCATGGTACTATATTATGTGAATGCAGTACAGTGTAGTTGACCAGTCCCCTCCTAATGGACATTTGGGTTGTTTCCAGTCTTTAATATAAGAAACAGTGTTGAGATGAATAGCCTTGTGTGACTTCTTCTCATATTTTTGCCAGTGTATCTTTCAGCTAAATTCCTAGAAATGGAATTGCTGGGTTAAAAGTAGATGCTTATACTGGTACAACTGGATATCCACGGGCAAAACACTGAAGCTTGACCCCTACTTTATATCACACACAAGAATTACCTCAAAGTGGATCAGAGACCTAAATTTGAGAGCTGAAACTGTAAAACTCTTAGAAGAAAACACAGGGGAAAATCTGCATCAGTTTGGATTTGGCAAGGTTTCCTAAATATGACGTCAAAACCATAGGTAATGAAAGAAAAAAAACAGATAAACTGGACTTCCATTAATATTAAAAACTTTTACCACTTCACACTCACGAAGATGGCTATCATAAAAAACAAACAAACAAAAAAATCCAAAACCAGAAAACAGCAAGTGGAAAAATTGGAAACTTTGTGCACTGCTGGTGGAAATGTAACAGGGGGCAGGTGTTGTGGAACACAGTTTGGCATTTCCTAAAAAAATTAAAACAGAATAGATATATCTACATCTATCTGTATCTGTAAGACGCAGCAAGTCCACTCCTAGGTATATACCTAGGAGAAATGAAAATATATGTTCACACGGAGACTTGTATATGAACATTCACAGCAGCACTATTCATAACAGCCCCAAAGTGGGAACAACCCAAATGTCCATCTTTGGATGAATGGATAAACAAAATGGAATTATTATTCAGGATGAAGTTTTTTGTTTTTTCTTTTAAAGATTTTATTTATTTATTTGAAAGAGAGAGAGATAGCGAGAGAGGGAACACAAGCAGGGGGGGTGGGAGAGGGAGAAGCAGGCTTCCCGCTGAGCAGGGAGCCCGATGCGGGGCTCGATCCCAGTACCCCGGGATCACGATCCGAGCTGAAGGCAGAAGCCCAACGACTGAGCCACCCAGGCACCCCAGGATGAAATTCTGGTACAGGCTACAACACGGATGAACCTTGAAAACATCCTGAGTGAAAGACACGAAAGGCTTCACAAGGTATGATTCCACTCACATGAAATATCTAGAATGGGCAACCTCACAGACACAGCAAACATATTAAGGTAGCCAGGGTTAGGGGGAGAGGAGGATTGGTGGGGGGGAAGCAAATGTATATATAATTTTACCAGACATTGCTAAATTCCCCCCTGTAACAGTAGTACCACCTACATTCCCACCAGCAATACATGAAGAGTGTTTTTCTGGGCCTCCCCAAGGAGAATATTGTCAAACTTTCGGATTTTTGCCAATCTGATTGCTAAAATGGTATCTTAGTGTAGGTTTAATTTGTATTTTTTCTTACAAAAAATCCTAATTATGTTTTCATCTGCTGGCATTGGTTATGTAATCACCATGAGACTTCCTTAGACAAACACACTAAAGTAAAAGATTTTTAAGTTAAAGAAGGCAAGTCAAGCAAGTAAGAACTACACACATTAATGTTTTAACAAATTCATTAATGTTATGGTTATTGTTGTAAATTCTAATCCTAGAAATAAAAAATATAAAACTCATTTTGCATACAGGTGAAGAGGTACTTATTTACTAGTACCTTCCGAGTGCATAGCACTCTGTTAGTCAATCTTTAACAACAGAAAAATCTGAGTAACACTTTCGATAACTCCAGAAATTAGATAAAACACATTTTCACCAACCATCAAAACCCTTTCACCTTGATTAGAATTATTCTAGCTGCTAGTTTTAGCAGTAAAATTGCCACTGTGCATGTTATGTCTTCTCCAGAGAATTTTCCTTTGTAATCCGAAGTTTAAGATCAAAGATGAATTGCGAATGTTTTGGTTTTGGTGTTAGGATAAAGCTGGCCTCATGAAATGATTAAAAAAAAAAAAGATCAAAGATGAAAGAAAATAATTTGCCAAAAGTTAACTGAATGAGGCACAAATTTACCTTTCCACTTAGCAACGAGCTTAGGATCTGAAATTGTGAAGTTTGGACGGCTTCTAGACAGGATACCTTTTCCAAAATAACCCTTCCAGGAAAAGAGAAAACAAAGTTCATGTTTAGTTACCAATTTTTTAGCTGGGGGAAGACAACTATTTGAGTTAACAAGAGATTCATTCTATTTTCCTTAGCTTTACATTTTCCCTCTGATTACCTAATGATTACTAATGAAGATCTTAGCATTATATCTGATTGTACGAAGAGTTCTAGTAAGTTTTCAGTACACCTTGTGTGTCTTATACCTGATGATTTCAGTCTGGGTTTGTTAAGCTCAAGGCAATGGAACAGGCAGAGGCAGGGCCTTGGCTTAGACCCCATATCACCAGGATCAATGCCACCTGCTGTATCCCACTTTGGGAAGCTGGCTACAACATATCTATTTTACATAAAATGTTTAGAAAGGCCCAATTTAGAGAGGAAGTACATCAGTGGGTGACATGGGCTGGGAGGAGGAGCAGCAATTAAGTGCAGTGGCACAAGGGAACTTTTTGTGGTGATGGGAATGCTCCACAACTGGAATGCAATGGTTGTTGCACAACTCTATGTATTTACTACAATCATTGAATTGCACATTTACAATGGGTGAATTTTATGACACTAAATTATACCTCAATAAAGCTATTTAAAAAATGCCCCCAAGTTGGGGCACCTGGCTGGCTCAGTTGGTACAGCATGTGACTCTTGATCTCAGGGTTGTGAGTTTGAGCCCCACACTGGGAGTAGAGCTTACTTTAAAAAAAAAAAAAAAAAAAAAAAATGCATCCAGTAATGAAAGGAGGATGGATGGAAAAAAAAGAGCAAGCATTCCCCAAATCTCAACCTGAACTTATCATGGGCGGAAAACAGCAAGAACTAGAACCTGTCCTCATCTAAGAAGAGGTCCCCAAACAAGAGATCACAGGTAAGGAACCAGAGTACATGCCGAAGCCTCATCTGTCCATGAGCCAGAACAATATGCCACTCTGTGTTTACCTCTGGAGATGGAATGGGAGTGGGGAATTTTTACTTTTTACCCATTACATTTCTGTAAATTGCTTGACATTTTTTATGAACATGCATGGCTTTTATTTTTTTATTTAAAGATTTTATTTGAGAGAGAGAATATGAGACAGAGAGCACACGAGAGGGGGAAGGTCAGAGGGAGAAGCAGACTCCCCGCCGAGCAGGGAGCCTGATGCGGTACTCGATCCAGGGACTCCAGGATCATGACCTGAGCCGAAGGCAGTCGCTTAACCGACTGAGCCACCCAGGCGCCCATGCATGGCTTTTATAACTGAAAGACAAGAAAGGCCAATGCACTGACCCTACTTTATTGTTGCAACGCGCGTTCAATGGTGGGGGAAGTCTTCCTCATTAACATATGGCTTCAGGGCACCTGATTCAAATTGTGCAGTTCCTCTCCTACACTGGACTGAATGGCAAGGAAAGAATATGGGTCAATGATGATTTGCTTTTGGGAGT